TCTTAACCGATGAATGTATATCAAGATGCTATCAGTTGTCAATGTCCAGTTTGTAGGATTATGGTTGATTTCCCTTTTTTCTTTCTTTTTGTTTATCTCTATTTTACAATCTTTTGAAATGGATATGTATTCTTTTAGAAAAACAAAACATGAGAATTAAAAAATTCAAAACAGCCTGTTCAAAAAATTTATGTTTTTCGAAGGTGTTGTGCCTTGTCTACCCCACCAGGATGGGTCTGCGCTCCTTACAAAGCTGAAATTGCCCAGAGCAACAGCAGCCACAGACCTTAGATGGGGGCTCACTTTGCCTCTAGGTGGGACCATAGAGCCTGGAGAGGTAGAGTTGGTGACCTCAGGTATGAGACTGTCCTACAGACAGGTAGAGTTTACAACTCTAAATGAGGTCCTAGATTAATGGCTTTCAAACGTCTAGCAGAATAACCTTCTTTTTTTCCCAAAATGAAATATCCCATACAACATCAACTCTTAAACAAACAAAAATTGTGTTGATCTGGTTGAAGTAGGAATTGGAGCATCCAGAGACCCCGATTCACCTTCCCCTTCTCCCCGTCCCACACGCGTGCACACACACATGCAAATTTTCACAGCAGCTCTTGAAGCGGCTTTGCAGGTTTTCAAAATGATGACTCAATAAACAAGCAGTAGTTGGTTTTAACAAGGTAACTTGCATTCCAGCAAGAGGTTTGTTGATTCAGGGTGTGAAACCCAAGAGAAGTTATTTTTATTTCCCATACACGCCCATTCACTAAAAGCACACCTGAGTTCCTAGAGACCCGACCTTTCTTCTATGTAAAAAGCTTTCTTCGCCAAGTCTATCTACAAACTCCTTCAGACCCCAGGTCCTCCCTTTAGTCTTTTCTGACCTCCAATACCTTAGATAAAATTAAGTTTTCCTTCATCTGTGGCCCCATAATGCTTTAACTATTATGCTCTCTTTGTAAATGGTCCAAAATGGGATACCACTTTGTAGATGGTGTCCGGGCTGGGCTACAAATACCATTCCAATGAGTCTTGAGGGTGGGGCTGAAAACTCCCACCCTAACCATGACGCCCTCATGTGTCTATTTGTATCCACGGGTTTACGTGGGGGTTAAGGAATCTCGGTGGTGGCTAGGAGGGGAATCTAATGGTGACCGTGATTGGGGTTCAGACAATATAGGAAAACTGTATGTACAGAGAAACTACGAGACCCCATGGAACAAAGCTGCCTCAAAGAAGAAGACTGGCTCTTCCGGATGCAGCCCCAAGGTCTATGGCTGGGAGAGGAAATGGTATTCAATGGTCTGGACCAACAAACAACGGCACGGGAGATCCCCACTGGGTCCAGTTTTAAAATGGGAGCAGAAACAAGATGGGAGAGGAAGAGGAGAGGTGACCAATAGGCCAAGACTCAGCTAGCTTAACTCAGATGGAAATGTTAAGGTGCTCTTATATAAATCTTAAGATTTATATGTTAATATATTTAGGTATTAATTTATGTTCCATGGAATAAATGAGAATACCCCATGGATACAAAATTTACATAATTTACTTTACTAATATGCATGTTTAAATGAGGGTAGGAGACTATTCAAGTGCAAAGTTTCCATTTGTACCCACACACCAGTAGGAGCAGGGGACACTCAAGCCATCCTTTGTATGCTTGTTATTTGTTCACATGACCGGGGATTGACATGCTTAGGTACCACGTACATCGGTGAGATTGCCATGCCTCGGAAACAATATTCCCATGTGAGGCTTAACCTACAAGAAACAACGCACTTAGAAGTTGTTGCATGGTAATCACGTGATGCTGAGGCAATTTCATTCGTAATAGTAAGTTAGTAGAAAGGATTCCTTGTTCCAGTGAAGACTGCTTTGGTCAAAAGCAAATTTCATAGGTAGAATAACTTCTATTTACACATTTGGAAAAGGAAAAGCTACACCAAGATCAAAGTTTTGTGGCTTGGAATTCAGAGGGTTAGGATGATGCAACAGTGTCCATAAGTCCAAGAATTATAGATGACCTTGGTTCCATCTAATAAAGTCAAAATTGCCGCAAGTTATCAGATACATATGCATTTCAGACTATCTGGATAGAGCACAGAACATACTCACTTTCCCCACATTTCCTTAAGGGAGCCAAATTATTCCAGACCGTGTTCATCATCCACCCGCTATTTCTTTGATTCTGAAGGACCACATGTAATGAAGACATATTTATGGCATACTTGCCTAGGTTCAGATTTATGTATTAAGATTTATATGTTAATATATTTAGGTATTAATTTATGTTCCAGGGAATAAATGAGAATACCCCATGGATCCAAAATCTACATAATTTATTCTATTAATATACATGTCTAAATGAGGGTAGGAAGCTATTTGAGTTGAAAGTTTGCATAAAAATTAAACACATGCATTATTCACATTTCAAAGACATTTTGAATGAATGCTGTTTTTTTTTAAAGTGTGATTTTATTAAATGGTAAAGATATCAAACCAGACATTAATCTTCCTAAACTGGGGCAGACAAGAGCTCAAGAAGATGGCTCTTCAAGTAAGAAGAAGCAGTTGTACAAGGTGTTCTAGAATCTTCTCCCCAAGGCCTACTCCTTCTTTGGGTGTCCTCTTATTTCAATTCTCAGTGTCATCATCACTTCGGGATACAGGGAAAATCCCCCTTTAAAAATCCAACTCATCACCAACAAAAATAAAATGCCACTAACTTAGTCCCAAACACATACATGTGCATTTCTTTTTTAAAAGGAACCTTTAACTTGCACAGAAAGTTTACATTCACATGGAAAACAGAATCATCAAAAACAATCCAATTTGAAGCTGGGTGTGGTGGCATGCACCAGTTATCCCAGCTACGCAGGAGGCTGAGGCAGGAGGATGGCTTGAGCTCAGGAGTTCAAGACCAGCCTGGGCAATACAGCAAGACCCCATTTCAAAAAAAAAATCTATTTTAAAAATAGACTTGTGTCCTTCAGGAATCTAGAGATATAGCAAAGGGTTTGGAGATTCCCAAATCTCCTCAGTTTAAGATGAACACACTTGACTCTGGAGGGCAGATATTATTTGGGAGTGCCTCTTCCTCAGCAAATGGCTCCAACTGCCATTTTATCTACTTGTCACCTGTGTTATGTTAAACATGACAGTCCATCCTCTCTCACCCAAGCACAAAGTGCAAAATGCAAAGTGCTCAGAGTCTCAGACTTCCTGGCCGCCTCCAACTCAGTTTTGCTTCCAATTTGAACAGCAAGAGTGACTTGGATGGGTGGTGAGACAGGACCCCTAAATGACTGACCTGCTGTAGGGGTGATCCTTGTCACTCGGAAGCATTCTCCCAAGACTTACTCAATCCGCTCCACTCCCCCCATCAGGGAGCAATCTTACAAGACCTACCCATTTCAAATGCACAACATGACGAAATCTTAACCATCCAATAAGTAGCATACAAATGTTGCAAATTCAACACAGATACCATCACATGAAATTGAATGAAAGTTGAAGGAATTTATGACTGGACAAACAAAATGTTCAGTTAACAAAATATTTTTTTAAAGGCCAAACTATATTTAGTTTTAACTGATCGTTTTGAAGGAATGTGGCATACTTTGATTTTATTTTTACCTTTGACTTTTTTAGAATCCACAGTAAAAAACACATAATTCTCTAGGACATAACTGCTGTAGTCATAGTGATTCCTGTAGCAAAGGTGTCCAAACTAAACTCTTTATTAATCTATCAAAACTTAAGGTTTTAAGAAAGTTCCTAGAAAAATATAAATCTATAATAATTTCCCTAGATGATTTTCTTATTGGAATGAAAATGAAGGTTTTTGGTATTAACTATTTGGTAACTTTATTAATTTACCAGTATTACCAAAATATAAATAAGAAATAATTATCTAGCTCCCAAGGTAGATTTAAAAATAATTATGTTTAGATATCTTCTTTTGCAATCTTCTATTAATATGGATAATGTTAGCACTAAGAGAAGGTATCATTAAACATGTCACCAGATAACAGAGTGGCAGGAAGCTGAAAGATATATCAAGCTTTTTAAAATATTCATATTTAAAAGAATACTTACTCTTTTGACTCCCTCTAAGAGGATATATCCTGAGTTTTTCAATGATATCAACTATGATCAAGCATAACAGGACCAGAGATACAGGCAGGTCAGGTAACATATCAGGTAAGATATCCGCAGACCCATTGATGTTCTTCTGAATCTGTTTTTAGAAAACCATTTAGAAGCATTAAATGATTGTACTTTCTTTGTTCAAAATTCTTCCAATAATCCAAAAGCAGCACTAAATTAATTGTAAATACACTTACTTAAAAAAAACTAGAAGCTTGTTTTTCAGCTTCTCGGGTTTAAAACTCCACAAGGTTTTAAGCCATTTCCAGAGATGTAATAAGGGTTCCACATCAGTGGAAGAGTTTTCAATTAAAGATACAGCTTGGGAAATGCATGGAGAAATAGAACAGTAGGCTCCCTGTATTAGTAGAATGGATAATTCCTTCCAACTCTACTGCTAAGCAGAGGTTCTGAGATTCCAGCCTCAAACATCTGGGGGAAAAATATTGATATTTAGGATCTTCCAAGAAAGGAGAGCCCAGGAAACCCAGCAAGGCTTTAGGGCACTTCCTTCATCTGCTTAAGGTATCTACCAAAAACCTACGGCAAGCATCATATTAACGGTGAAATGTTTAAAGTGTTCCCTGTGAGATCAGGAATAAGCCAAAGATGGTACTTTGAGCATTACTATTCAAAATTGCACTAGAGGTCAGAGCCAGGGTAAAAGGCAAGAGAAGGAAATCAATAGCAGAAGCGTTGGAAAGAAAGAAAAACAAAACACCATTATTCATAGACTATATACGGAGAAATTCTCCCCAGCATGGATAAATTATTTATAAACACCAATGATGAAGAGTTAGAAAGTAAGATTTCTATAAAAATGATACAGTTGAATATGCAACCTCAATTAATGTTCCAAGCTCTTGTGGAAAATGGCAGGCTGATTCTAAAATGTATATGGAAACACCAAGAGCAAAAAACTCTGAAAGAAAAAGAACAAGAAAGGAAGGTTTACTCTTCTGGATATAAAGAATTATTATAAAGCTATAAGAATTAAGGTGGTGTGGTGTCAATACAGAAATGGAAAACTAGGCAATGGGACAGAGCAGAAAGCCCAGAATCAGATCACAAATGTGCACACCTGATTTATAACAAAGGTAGCACTGCAGGGAAGGACAGATTTAAATAAAGGCTGCTCGGTCCATTTGAGATTATTTGAAAAAGAAAAAAAAAAAAAAAAGCTTGACCCCTTGACCCCTTATTGCACTACACAGACAAAAACCAGATCCAAATGGATTGTGAATCTAAAAGAAAATTGAAGAAACAATACAGCCTCCAGAGTACGACTAGGGGAACATGTTTACGACTTTGAGGTTGAGATTCACAAGAGGACAAAATCTTCTCAAACAAGTGACCATAAGCACTATCTGTAAAGGAAAGAAATTGATAAATTGGGATATTTTTAAATTAAGAACTTCTTTTCACCAAAAGATACCATCGAAAGTATCTTCTGACTCAACTGAAATGCTTGCCCATGCACACCAAGAGACATATTCCAGAATGTTCACTGCAGTATTATTTGGAATAGCCTAAACTGGAAACAACTGAAATGGCCATCAGTAGTAGAACTGATACATTTTTTTTTAAATTGCGATATCTTCATAAAATGAAATAGTCTACAGCAATGAAAATGAATGAGTTACAGTTATACACAGACATGAAGGATGCTCACAGCCATAGTTTTGAATTAAAAAAGCCAGACGTAAGTTATATATATTATATATAAGTTAAATAATGTATGTGTATAATCTGTTGTTTGATTTCTCCTTGCAAAAAGTTCAAAAACAGGCCAAGTAATCTGGGGTATTAGAAATCAAGGCAGAAACTACCTCCGGAGAGGAGAGAAAGACAGTCATTGCAGGGAGCATGGGTTGGAGCTGGCCAAGTTTTCCTTCCTGACCTGAGTAGTGTTTACACAGGGGTTTGCTTTGTGGTATTCCATTGATACTGTACATTTACGTTTTGTGTGCTTTTCTGTTTGTGTTACACTTCCTTGAAGATTAAATAAGAACAAAAGGAAAGAAGGGCCGGGCGCGGTGGCCCACGCCTGTAATCCTAGCACTCTGGGAGGCAAGGCGGGAGGATTGCTTGAGGTCAGGAGTTCAAGACCAGCCTGAGCAAAAGCGAGACCCTGTTTCTGCTAAAAATGGGTGTGGTGGTGTGCACCCATAGTCCCAGTTTCCAGGGAGGCTGAGGCAGGAGGATCACTTGAGCCCAGGAGCTTGAGGTTGCAGTAAGCTGTGATGATGCCACTGCACTCTAGCTGGGCAACAGAGCAAAACTCTGTCTCAAAAAAACAAGAAAAAGAAAAGAAAAACATGCAACAGGGCATGAGATATCTTTAAAAAGAAACAGAAAGGGCTGGCAGATCCCAGATACGCTATCCTTGCACAACCGTGGTGTTCTTTCAAAGGTTGTAAACCGAATTTTTACAGCTCTTGGGGAACTCCCAAGTGATTTATGAGGTCTGTGTGGAGGAGCGAGGGAGAAAGGACAACTGTAGATGGAGATATTCATCTGTTGCAGTTTGTTTGATGCGAAGCACATCTGCGTGGTCTTCTGAAGTTATTCTATGCATTCATACATTGTCCTAATGTAGTATCTAGGATGTGGTCTAACAACCGTGTAATTTCTAATATCATACATTACTTGGTACTCACCTCTCTCACAACGTTATGATACTTGTTCTAATTGCCGGTTTATTTTTCTCTCTACTGTTGGTAAATAATTACTGATGCCAGAGACCCTGCCATATTTCTCGAGTGCTCTACCTCGAAGATCTAATAGTGCCTGGCCTGTCAGATGCACTTAATGAATATTTACTCAACATATGAATGAAACATCACAAAGTAACATAAGTTGTGTACTTTGGGGAATTTGAAAATTACATCTTTCACATCACCTTGCAAATTAATAAGATTAGGAGGGCATTCTTCTTTGACCTTCCTGGATAATAAAGTTCTCACAGCCTGAAAGTTCTGCTTATAATATTCCTGCCTCGAAGATGCCCATCCAAGTCCTTTTGAAGCTATATTTAGTCTAAATGTAAACTCAAAGTTCTTTTCTAATAAGTAACATGTGCAAATTATTTGTCAATAGATATCTTATCAAAGGTCTTAGAATGTAAACGGTTATTCCCTTAGATGATGTTGTATTCATTTAGAACCAAGGATGATCATGAAAAACAACCCAGAAACTGGGAGAAAGGGATGCAGATTAACTTTCAGATTCCTTACTTTTTTATTATTTTAAAATAACATTTCTGTCTCACATACACAAACATAAAAGTAAACTTAAAAAAAATTGGCTGCTGGATTTGCCTCCCTAAGCACAGAGAGGACAATGATCTTCGTACCTTCAATATATAGATTGCAATCTGGAGGAAGACTGGATTAAGTAAATTTTAAAGCATTCGTTGGGCCCACTGCTCTACCAAATGTCAGTAACAGGAAGTTTTCAACTCTCAAAATCTTGTAGCAGAGGAAATCAAAATGCCATACCTCGGTCACCGCTACAGAAAACGTGAAACTGGGCAAAGTGGTGAGTGTTACGCACATCAACAGAACAGGTCTCCTGGCAAAGGAGAAAAAAATAAGCCAACGCCATAATATACAAGATCAACAGTTCCTCTTACATTTTGCTAAATTCACAGTTCCTGTTCCATTCATCTACAGTTTTTCTAAGAAGCCGCTGCTTCCCTATTTCCATTTCCCAAATGTTTGCGTACGGCAAAGAGGAACACAGTGCAAACAACAGAGTGCTTTTCTAGAACAAAGGGTGAGAGATTTCCAGATAATCCGAATAATTTGCAAACCATAAATGACTCAAAGCATCAAGGCGCAAGTCGAATGACATTCAGTCTTTCTGTAATTCATTCATTAGGATTCCACCCAGGTCGGGCTCTGGCGATCAACTAAAAGGAAGAACGGCATGACTTTCTCAAGTTATACCCTGTGTCATAAAACTGATTTTTCAAAAAATACATTTAGAGATGATAAACTATGAGATACTTAAAGATCACTTAAAGTAAAAACATTTGGATATGTTTTACTCGAAACCCACCCCCCAAAAAAAACGTACATAAAAATGACATAATTTTTCAAACTTGTTTTTGGGCTATTTCTTAAGCCTCACATGATCAATCAGTCAACTAGTTATTAAGACATAATATGTATATAATACCATACATTATAACAGAGAAAATTAAAATGCATGTTTAGCATCATTAATTTAGGGAAGGACAAAAGATACTCAAAGGTTTTCTATAATGAAATATTTACCTCTTCTTTCTTTAGTTAATATATATTAAGTTAATTACATCTACATGATAATGTGTTTCTAAATACAAGCAGTGTTGACGGCTTTAAAATGATTAACAATTTCTCCTTGATCCTGTCTTGTCTCTTCCATCCCATTTCAGATGTCCTAGGTGTAACCGTAAGTTAGGAGGTGAGATTGCCCCTCTCTCATAGCCAGATCCAGTCTGGCCTGGCTAAAACCAGTTATGATGGGATTTTCAATTGGTAGCTTTGCCTCTTTGTCCGATCACAGACCCAAGTTCCTACAGCACTAGCTCCCTAAGTAAGACTGTCGAAACCATTCATAAAGTCCTCTTATCAATTTGACCTCTAAAGGATGGCAATGACCCAGGGATTAATCCTGGGCCTCTTGTTTATCTATATTATCTTCTTAGATTATGTCATCCAGTCCTATGGATTTAAATACCATCCACTTGCCCATGACTGCCAAATACATGCTGGACTTTTCCCTGAGCTCTGGACTCGTATACCCGACTATTAGACATCTCCACTTGTACATCAAAGAGGCAACTCAGACTTAGCATGTCTGAAAGAGAACACAAGTCCTCCTCTGTACCTGTTCACATCCATCATCCAACCCCGTCTGATTTACTGCCGAAATGCATTTCAAACCCATCCTCTGATAATTCCATAGTTCATCCACTGTCATCTCTCCTCTGCAATATTTCCTAGCTGGTTTCCTGTTAATGCTTCTGTTCTTGTTTATCAACATTTCTTCATTTCTTAAAAAACGGAGTCATATTTTTTAAATGTAAAATACATCTTGTCACTGCCTTCCCGGCTCAAAAATCTCCAATGCTGGGGAAACGGGGTGATGGGGAGTTATTGTTTCATGGGTACAGAGCTTTTGCAAGGTGGGCAGAGTTTTGTGGATGAACGGTCATGATGAGCTGCACAACGACAATGTGAATGTACTTAACGCCACCGAACTGTACACTTAAAAATGGTTTAAGACGGTAAATTTTACATTATGTGTTTCACCACACTTAAAAAAAAAAATCTCCAATGGACACACAACGTAATTAGAATAAAATTAGAACTTGTTACCCCAGCCAACATGCTCTACATGATGTGGTTTCTCTTATTTCTCCTACTCTACTCATTTAAAATGAACCACCTTCTCTCACTTCACTCTAGCCATAATGGCCTTCTGGCTATTTTGTGATCACACTGAGCATACCCCACCTAAGAGGCTGCTCCCTTCGCCAGGGACTGTGGACCAGATCTGTTCCATGTCTAGTTCCTTGTAGTCATCTACTTCTCCCACCTTGGTCATTTTTTAATCACATTCCATACGTATATTTTATATTTTTATATATATGTGTGTGTGTGTGTGTGTATATATATATATATATACACATATATATGTAACTTATATATGTAGCCCTTATGACTGCCTGAAATTCTACTGATTATTTTTTTGTTTATTGTTTTTTCACCTCCCTCTTTCTTCATCCCCCAAGGTAAGTTTCTTGGAAGCAGGGACTTTATCTGAGTTGTTCACTACTTTATCTCCAGCATCCAGATTAATGTTTCTGAAATTTTTTGTGTGTAATGAATCTTCTGGGAATTTAATGAATCCTATGGGCCCTTCTCAGGATAAAATTTTTAAATGAGTAAAATAAATACAAAACAAAGCAATTATATCGAAATTGCCAAAATTCTTTTTAAAGAATTATATACAATATGCAGTCTCTTTAAAGAATTAGGCTGAGCATGGTGGCTCACACCTGTAATCCTAGCACTTTGGGAGGCCAAGGCAGGAGGATCGCTTGAGGCCAGTAGTTCAAGACCAACGTGAGCAACATAGCAAGACCCCGTCTCTACAAAAAAAAAGAAGAAAGAAAGAAGGAAAAATTAGCTGAACACGGTGGTGTGCTCTTGTAGTCCCACCTGCTTGGGAATCTGAGGCAGGAGGATCTCTTGAGCTCAGAAATTTGAGGTTGCAGTGAGCTATGATGATGCCACTGCATTCTAGCCTAGGCAATAGAGCGAGACCCTGTCTCAAAAAAAAAAAAAAAAAGAATGACATACAGTTACTTGATTCCTTTAAAATTTTTATATAGTAATACATGTGCCTATCTATGAACATATTGTCTTTTTTAATTTTCTTTGTATTAATAGTATTTAAGATTAGTAAAAAGTGTAATCATTTATAATTTCAAGGTAGTGAAGATCATGAACCATATACTGATGTCAACTGTCGTGATATGAAAAGATCTGTGATATCCGACACAGAAAGCTCTGTGTAATAAAATTACAAGTCCTATTAACACTACTGTGGTTTGTTACCAACATCCTTGTTAGAAAGGAATGCTAGCTTTCCATTACAGGTGAATGAAAATAAAGATGTAAGTCATTTCTCATTCAAGTTCAGGAACTCCAAGATGCAAGAGAATATCTGGCACATAGTAGGAACTCAATAAATACTAAACAAATGGAATACATAACAAATAAATACCAACCGTAGTGTATGTTTTATGTAACCAGAAATAATGTTAACCTGTGTTTGAAAATCTTGACTTACTGCGAGGTTATGCTTATCATTTAGTAATGAGTGTCATGGATTGAATGGTGTCCTTTGAGAAGAATATATTGAAATCCCCAACCCCCAGTACCTCAGAATGTGATCTTATTTGGAAATAGGATCTTTACAGAGATAATCATGATAAAATAAGATTAGAGTGGGCCCTCATCCAATATGACTGGTGTTCTCATAAAAAATGGGGAAATTTGGCAGCAGACTCACACGGAGGGAAGACTACGTGAAGAAAGGCAGGGAGAATGTCATGTGGTGATGAAGGCAGAAATCAGGGTGATGCATCACCAAGTCAAAGAACATCCAAGCTTACCCCAAAAACCAACCGAGGCTAAAAGAAAGCCATGGAACAGATTCCCCCTCATATCGCTCAGAAAGAACCAACCCTGCCAACAACTTGATCTCAGACTCTCAGCCTCCAGAAATGTGAAACAATAAACTCCTTTTGTTTAAGCCATCCAGTTGGTGGTACTTAGTTATGGCATTTCTAGGAAACTCATACAGATTTTGCTACTGGGAAGTGCAATGTTGCTGTAAAAGTACCTAAAAACATAGATGTGGCTTTGGAATTGAGTAACGGGTGGATAGAGGCTGGAAGAGTTTTGAGATGCATGACAGAAAAAGCCTGGATTGCCTTGAGGAAATTGTTGGTAGAAACGTAGATATTAAAGGAGATTCTGGTCAGGGCTCAGAAAGAAGAGGAGAGCTGTAGAGAAAGCTCCTGTCATCTTAGAGAACAGATATAGTGCCATGAACAGAATGTTGCCAGAAATATGAATGCTAAAGGTGCTTCTGGTGGGGAATAGGATGGAAATGAGGAGCATGCCACTGGAAACTGGAGGGAGGTGATCCTTTTTATAAAATGGCAGAAAATGTGGCCGAATTGTGCTCTGTTGGGTAGAAAGTAGAACCTGTAAGTGATGAATTCAGATATTTAGCAGAGGATATTTCTGAGCAAAATGTTGAAGGCACGGTCTGTTTTCTCCTTGTTACTTATAGTGCGATGTGAGCAAAGAGAGGTACATCGAAGAAGGAATTTTTAAGCAAAGAGGAACTAGAACTTGAAGATTTGGAAAATTCTCAGCCTATCCATATTACAAAAGATGAGCAAGCGTGTGTGGTAGAGATCATCAAGGTTGTGGCTTGAGAATCCAATCAACTGTGTCAGCAGAAACACTGCTGGCTTGCACCAAAGGTGTCAGAAATGGAATAAAAGGAAGAAAGGCTGCTGGACTTCTGGGACTCCAGGGAGGAAACCGGCTGATAGCGCTGTTCGGCTGCAAACGTGTCATCCTTCAGGGAAAGGGAACAATGACACTGACAGTGATTCAGAGGCCGGAGAGGCTGGCACTGCAAGCACAGGCCCAGAGGTGCCCTCCACGAATTCAGAGGGCAGAGCCGCCATCCGGGGCTGAGGGGTTGGGGCCACTACCCTGGCGGGCTTGGAAAGTGAGCCCAGAGGATGGAGCATCAAGCCACAGAAGGTTATTCTCAAACTTTAAAATCTGGTGGCATTTTCCCTCCTGGGTTTTGCTCTTGTTTGAGACCCATGACTCCTTTTTCCCCTTCCAATTTCTCCCTGGTGATGTCCATTCCACTGTATTTTGGAAGCCAGTAACTTTCTGTCTGGTTTCACACCTTCACAGGTAGAGAGGAATTTTGCTCCAAGATGAATCATAGCTCACTTCTCACACATAACTGATTTTGGTGATTTA